GAAACCCCTTTTAGGTTTTTTTTTTTTTTTTTTTGAAATCGCAAAATCGTCAGACTCTGTATGAAAACGTCACCCGCGGGGGCCGGGGGCGAGACAGCATCGGGGGGGTGCCTCCGGGGGTGTGGGTGTCGGGGGGGTGTTTCCAGCACCTGTACAATCCACTCCCTCCCCCCCAGCCCAGCAGTAATAAGAAGGTACCTTCAGTTTGTTTATTCGCTTTATTTGCTTGGAGCAAAGTGCATTTCCAGTGGAAAGCCCATTGACTTAAAGGCAGGCTCGCGGGGGCTCGCCGTGGCGGTTCACTCCTCCCAGGGCTCGTGGCTCAGCGGATCCCTCCCACGGCTCGCCGCGGCCCCAGATACATGGCGCGGTCTCTTCCCGGCGTGGCCTTTCGGCTGGAGCGACGTGGCGACGACCCCGGGCCAGCCTCGCGGTAGGTACAGCAGTTGTACGGATATGGCAACGAAAGAAGCGTTCTGCATTCTCGTAGTGTTGGTGGTGGCGTCTTTATCGGCGGATTTAAAAACAAATCAAAGAGTTGGGGGTGGGAAGGGAGGGGGAAGGAGGAGAAAAAAAAAAAATCCAACCCCTGGAAAGGAGCCTGGCCCTCGCCTCGGCTGCGTGTGGCTACAGAGACTCGGCTGCGTGGACGTGGAGAGCACGGGGTGAGTGTGTCGGGATCCCAGTATCCTTTGCTTCATGCATGGCACATTCTCCGTTTTTTGTTTGTTTTTTTTTTTTAGCTTCAAACCTCCCAGTGAAAAATATTAAATATTCCAGGTAATAAAATAGATTATTATTTCTATACTATAGGTTCAGGCTAGTGCAAGGGGCGTCACCTGGGGTAACCCTTGAAGTAACCCCTAGACCACTGCATTGCAGGCAACGCAAGGCACTTTCTCAAGTGATCTAGTTCGGCCTGAAGTCGCTCCCTTTCCGAGACAATCTTCTGCTTCTGGGTCCTTAATTCCTGCAAAGGAGGGTGGGTGGGGAAAAAAATACGATCACTACAGGCTGTCGAATGTGACGGGGGAAGAGTAGCGCCTCTCTTCCACCCAACATCACGGTGGAGGCGCGATCCGGCCTGATCTCACGGGGGAAGCATTGAAAGGCCAGAGTCTCATCTCTGCACACCCAACACAGCCCCTTTTATTTCGGCGTAGCCCTCAAGCCAGCAGGCTGCAGTGGCAAAGCTGGTGGGGTTGTTTCTATGAAGCCAGAGCCACCTGTTCTCCAGTGCCAGGCGCATGTTGACAGCTTGCCCCCGGGTGGCTCGGCTATCGGTGGGCACCAGGGCATCGGGGCTGGGGAACTGAAGGCAGCTGGCTTATAGAAGGGGATGTGACAGAAGATGGGCCACGAGCTGCAGGTCCCCCAAGTAAGCAAGATTTGCTTTGCAGCACTTGTATTTCCTCCACTCTTGCTCCTTTCCGTCAGTCCCGTCCCTTCCCCAGTCCCAGGGGCTGCAAACCCTGCAGCCGGCCTCTCACTGAGAAGGCAGGAAGCTGAAGGAAAGCTTGTGACACCCTGTGGTCTGCGTGCAAGGTGGCACAGCTGTCCCCCTGCCACCCCAGAGCTGTGCTGCTCATGGTGTCCCCGTCCACTGGCTCGAGCAGGTGTATGCATGCCCAAGCTGCAAGCAAGTGGGCACCAGCTCATTGCAGCTGCCTTGAGAATCAGCACGTGCTCGTGGATAAGCCGCAGCCTGCCTCTGCCTGGGCTCCCACCAGTGTCTACCCCCGGCCCCAGTCCCACTCACCGCCATGCTGTGGGACAGCTGCTCAGCTGTCAGACTGAGGCTGTACTGCTGGGCCTCCAGCCGGCGGCACTGGGTCTGCAGCACGTGCCGTTCCAGGTTTTGTTCTGCAAGCAGAGGAGATGCACTCAGTCACGGCGTGCAGTTGGCCACCCGTGGCCCTGGCTACTCTTGGGTCATGCCTGGGCCTCTTACATTCATGCACCAGCCCTGCCTCCCCCCTAACATCAGACGCTGTCTTAGCTTAGCCTTTCTCCATCCAGCTTCACCCACCATGACAGTCCTACAGGCTACAGCACAGAGCGTGAAGAGAGGCAGCTTGAACCCAGCGGCCCATGGGTGGCAGAGGCCTCCCGTGTCACATCCCTTTGCCTAGGCTTTGTGCCCGGCATCTATGCTGGTCACTGGTGTGTTCTCCAGCATGGGCCAGTGGTGGCTGGCTACATCAAAGAAGCACCAGGTCCCTCTCCCTGCAGGGTTACCCTGTGTCCTGGGGATGTCCATAAAGCATGCTTACAATGACTCTATACCCAAGGTCCCAGCCTCCATCTTCCAGGCCCAGGGCTAGAGCCTCGTGGCTTTGTAAAGGCAAGAGCTGCTCTAAACCGAGCACGCAGCTTGGGGAGGGGACAGGCCCTGCAGATGCTGCTCCAACAGGGCTCGTAGCGCCTTCCCCTTGCCTGCCAGACATTTAAACCCAATTCACAGGCACTGAGGAAGTGAGGCGTAATTAACTTCCAAATTATCGGCAGCATCGCAGGGCCGCACACGCTAACGAAGGATTTATTGCCGCGATACCGTGTGCAGGGAGGCGGTGGTGGTTGGGGCACTGGGGGCTGTTGGTTCGAGCCCAGCAAGTAAACTGGGGGATGGGGAATGAATGCAAGGCCAAGTGGGGGCACAGAGCTGCTGGGCTGTGGCTGCCGCTGCAGTGCTGGGGATTTGGGTCCCTGGTTAATCATGGAGGGGTAATGGTGGCAGCACGCATGAGCACCTGCGTCATCATTCGGGCTGGCAGGAGAGGGGAGGCTGCAGGACTGGGTCAAGGACTGTGTGGGAAAAGCAGCCTTCTTCCAGCCCCTGCTCTGTTTATCTGCCCACATCGGCCTTCCCCCGGGCTCAGCTGTGATGCCGCATGGTAATGAGGCAGGATGCAAACCCCACTGTGCCGCCACAGCAAAGGCAATGACTCACAGCCTCTGAGGACAGCAGCCACCCGAGCCGAGGGCCTGGGGCGCACCAAAGGGAGCGAGCACAACACCTGCCCCGCTGCGGTGCCAGCCTGCCCGGGAGCAGCCCGTTTTTAGATGCACTGGGAGAATACAAAGCAGGCGGCAAAGGAGGGAAATGTCAAGGGACTCTGCGCTCTTTGCCTTCGGCTCGGTTCCCCAAGAGCAGATGCTGGGCTGCAGCAGTGGATTTGCACAGGCGTCTGGTGTCTCTGCCCGTCCGTGTGTCCCCCCCCATGCAATTCCCCAGCCCCGGGCAGAGTTTTAATTCCCACTGCAGAACTGGGGGATGCCGAGGAGCCCGGTGACCCACCCAGGTCCCGAGAGGGCCTGGGGAGGGTCCAAGCTAGAGACAGATGCTCTGAAAGGCTCCAGAAGCCCCGAGCAGCTCTGAGGGCTCTTCTGGAGCCACGACCTGCCCATTCCCTTTTCACTCCAGCCAAGGTCAGAGCTGGGAGCGAGGAAGGAGAGAAGCCGCAATGCTGAGCCACGGCTCTGAGAGTGAGATTGCAATGCAGGTGAGGTCTGGGTGCAGGTCCCCTACCTTCTATGTGCTCCTGGTAGGCTTCGAAGATGGCCTCGATCCCCTGCCACTTGGGCCGGGGGCACTCGTCCTCCTCCTCCTCCTCCTCGTCCTCCTCCTCTCCCTCCGAGTCGGAGTCTTTGTCGTGCTCGGGGGGGACGAGCCCCTTGCGTGGGGGCTGGGCATCAGGCTGCCCGTTCTGCTGGGGCAGGGGGACCCGGCTGGAGGCCTGGAGCTCGGGAATGTTGTAGTGGATGGAGGCGTCCACCTTGTGGTTCTGCTCGGCGGTCAGCGCGGCCGCACTGCCTGCAAGAGAGACCGGAGCGTGAGGACCGGGGACCAGTGTGGCACCCTGCTCCCCAGGCATCACCCAGCAGGGAGACCCCTGCCATCAGCCTCGCTTCTGGGCATCAGGATAGATGGCTGTCCCTGTGCTGCATGGGCATCTCAGCACACACACTGGCACGCACATGCAGGAGCCCCGCTGTAGCTGGGCTGCACGCTTCCTCAGCCCGGCTCCCACCCAGGCTGGCAAAGCACTGCTCAGCACCAGTGCCTGCTCAGCATCCTGGGTGGCTAAGTTGTGTGGGGCCACACTAGCCAACTGGTCTCATCAGGGCGTAATGGGTTGCACCTGCTGATGGCGGGGTGAGGAGACAGTCAAGGGCAGGGCAAGACGACCCTGCTGCATTGGTCCCATCATCATAGGACCGCCCTGCACGTGCCATAGGGCCTGTGTTACCGACACCACCTCAGAGCCAAGCCCCCAGCTGCCCCAGAGGACTTGGGATGAACTCCCAAGGGGTCACACAGAGCTCAGCCCAGCAGCCCCTGGAGCCCAGTCGGGTGCCTAGTGCCTGCCCTGCAATCATGCTTTTTGCCCGTCCCTGCCCACATCCCAGCAGCAAACTGGCTTCCCTCGAGGCATCCATTTATCTCCAAGATTAACTAACTCCCCTCAACCAGTGCTGGAGATGACTCCGGTGGGTTTTAACGGCTCTCGCTCTGACTCGGGCGCTGCAAACATTTACGGCCCCCCGGCCTGCGTTTAGCATGCCACTCCTCTCTGGCATTCTCCAGCGCCTTGATTCCTTTTCCGTTAACAGCTGCTCCCTACACACTGGAGTAACTTTATTTCCTCCACTCCTGCCTGTCGGCGTTAACGAGCTCTTCGGGAAACGAGCTGTATTTTCAGTGTCTGTCCTGAAGTTCCCATTTTTTTTATTTTATTTTTTTTACCTTCTACTGTAATTGTTGAGGCTGTTTCAAGGGGATGGGAAAGCACAGATGCATCGATAATTTCCTGGGAACTTCTAGAAGCTGCTTAATGGAGCCTTCCCCTATCTGCCTGTGGTGAGTATTCACGTGATGGATGGCTCCTCTCCGCTAACAGTTGTGGCCACGGCTCTCCCTTGGGAAGATGTAAGAGACACTAGCCCAGCAGCCAGAGGCTCTGAACATGCTCCCCTCTGCGCTGGCTCGGCAGGATGTGCGCGCACACGTTGCTCTATGCACACAAACCTCCCTGGGATGTGTGGACCGGCCTGTGCAGATGCGGCACCCTAACGTCCGGGTGCCAGAGACCGTGCAGGGAATGCAACTGCTGTCTTTGGCTTTCGTGCATGCAAAAACTCTTTTGTGGGGGCAAAGGCAGGTGCAGATTCAAATCCAGGGCCCAGGTTGGAGCCAGGAGTGCTAGGGGCTGAGCTCCTATCTCCGCACCCCTCTGCCCCCAGAGGCCTGTTACCTTTGTGCTTCTGCAGCGCCTTCTGTGTGGACTGCAGCACGGACTCGTGGAACTGGTGCGCGAACTCCTCCGCCATGAAGGGCTCCCAGGGCTTGCTCTTCCCGTTGACGCTGTGGGACAGTGGCACGGGGATGTCCTTGGCTATGGGGCCCCGCACGTAGTTGAGGATGCTCAGGCTCTTCTTCCCCATGTGCCCATCACTGAGCTTGGGCTTCTCAGCTGGGGCAGGAGCCGGCTCCTTGGCCCCCGGGGGTCTGGGTGGCTCTAACCGGCTGGGCTCGGCAGGCTTCGGCACGTCAGGCAGGGAGACAGCGATGCCCACAGGTTTGTCTGGATCCACAGGGAGCTGCTGCATTGCAGGCTCTTGGGGAAAGCAAATAGAGCAGCATGAGCTGTGGGGCTGGGAAGCACAGCAAGGCTCTGTCTGCCCCTGTGCAGCACCCAGGGTTTCTGCCCCACGCACCCACACAGCTAGGGGCAGAGGTTAAATCCCCCCTTGGCCCTGTAAAAGGCTTGAGCCAGCCTCTGGCTGGCAGCTGCCTGGAGCCTGCTCTTGCCAATCTGGAGGGGCAGAAGGGCCTGTCATCTGGGAGAAGCACCAGAGGCCCCATCATGCGAGGCGCATCCCTTCATCCCCAGGACCCTGTGCCCATAGTGGGAGCCAGGCCTCTCTCCTGTCCCCAGCAAGCAGCGCCTGCCCTGCCCCATACCGGTCGGCGTGGTGTTGGGGCTGTCCCGCGGGGAGCTCTTCACCACCACGGCGGCCGGCGTGCTCTTCTGCTTCATGGCGTGCAGCAGCTCCACCAGCTTCTCCTTATCTGCGGGGCGGGAAGCGGAGGGCTGGAGCCACACGGGGCAACTTTACGAGGGCCGGGAACCTGCCCGGCAGCCCCTGGCATGAGGCAGAGGCGTGACAGGGGCAGGGGCAGGGGGCAGGAGGGAGGGACGCCTGCCACTGTGCTGGCCTGGCTGAGCTGCCAAAGCCCATAACACCAGGCACAGCCCAATGTGTGCTGGCACTAGGCCATCAGGGCTGCATGGCTGGCAGTCTGGTTTCTCCCTGCTGATGTCCTAAGGGAGGTCTCCCAGGGTGCTGAGGTGTCAAGGCAGAGAGGGAAAGCCCTGGCATTAAGGGGTTCAGGTGCTGAGCAGAGCCAGGCAGCCTGGAGCAGGATGGAGAGCGAAGGGAGCAGCTCTGGCTGGCACACGCGACCCTTGTTCCCAGCCAGGCCTGACCTCCCAAGGGGCTGGGAAGCCAATGCTGGCTCCCCCCGACCAGTGGGAATCAAACTGGGAAGGGGGGTGTGTCGAAGGACAACAAGAAGGACACAGCTCCATCCTGCACCAGCTCTGCCCCGCTCCGCTCAGCCCTGCCGCAGTCGGGAGCCAGCCTCGCTCACCTTTCCTCTTCTCGGCGCTGATGTGGGTGAGGTTGAACATGGTGAGGAACCGCTTCTTCTCCTCGAAGTTGGGGCTGTTGTTCATCTCGTCAGGGCTGTAGCGGGTGGAGAGCACCAGGCGAGGCGAGGGCGTCCGACGCTTGCTCTGCACCGTCGGGGGCGAGGGGCTCCGCTCCCGCAGCATCCGCCGCCGCTTGCGCCGCTTCTGGGTCAGCAGCTCCTCCTTCTGCTGCTGCGTGGTCAGGCCGAAGAGCTGCAGGAACTCCAGCTTCTGCGGGGGGTGACGGGGAAGGGGCAGGGCCCTGAGCGGCTGCAGGGACCCATGGGCTCTGCCGCAGGCTCCTAGCTTGCGAGCTTGCTCCATGGGGGAAGCATCCATCCCACTGCCCTGCCGCCCCTTCCAGGAGCCCCCAGCACTATAGTCAATGGGGTGGTGGCTGCAGACGGGACCCAGCCAAAAGAGGGGTGGGTTTGGAGGTCAGCGCGAAGGGACCAGGGAGCACCCACGGGCACTCATTGCATTACAGATATGGGCCAAGCCTAGCGGACAGCGCGGTCTCCAGTGTGGTCTTACTGGGGTGTCCCCAGGCTGGGAGCTAAGGCACGGCCCTGCAGACAGATTTCTGTGCCACGAGTAGGCTCTGACCCCGGGAAGGCAAGACGAGGCACCTGGCATTTATCACGGGTTATCATGAGGGCGCTGATGGGTTGTAAGTTCACACCCAGCGTCCTGTGCAGTCACTCGTAAGGAGCTTCTACACGAGGACAGACTAAACAGGGTGGGCCTGTTCAGCCGAGAAAAGAGAGGCTTGAGGGGGGGCGCATGAGAAGGGTTTGAATCAGAGCTCCCTACACCTTAAAAGCTGGAAGCTCAAGGAAGAGGAAGAGGGGGAAACTCTGGTCAGACCCAGGCCTCTCTCCCTTTCAGCATCCGCTCTCCGCGCCACATGACACAGGAGACTGGGCCGGACGGACTGATGGGCTGACCCATCGATGGCAGCTCGATACCCAGAGGGGATGGGAGAGGGCTGGCACGGATAGGGACTTTGTGGCCATGATCAAGTCATTTCCCCTCTCTGCCTCAGTCTCCCAGGTGCCCTGAGAGCAATCGTCCCTGTCTCCCGAGGGTCAGTTAGTGCTTGCCCAGGGCTCAGAGGTGAATTATTAGCAGACCCAGATTGTGGCTCTATTGCTAAGGTAGGTCAAGCCACGGAGGTGGTGTGGGGCTCTTGGGTCGTGGCTGTTCATGGCCCAGATGCTGCTGTTCTGCGCCTGGTCTGCCCAATGATGGCTGATGGCTGCCCGGGGGGCCAAGTGGGGGATATACCTCGGAGGAAGTGTCCAGCTTGAGCGGGGGCTGCTCAGCCACGCACCGGAGATGGGCTCTCACCTCCTCCTCATCGCTCTCATCATAGGAGTCGTCCAGGTCATAGTAGTAGCCTGCGCCGGGGAAGGAAAGGCCGGAGGGTGAGGCAGTGGAGACACTCTGTCTCTCAGGCAGCAGGATTAATCCCATCCAAGTGTCACCAAGAGAGCATGGGAAGGGGGAATGGTGCCCAGTGCTAGCACCGGGCAAGGCTGCCTGCGGCTGCGAATAGTCCTGAGTGACCCTTGGCTTTTCCCCACTGCAGCAGCTGGCAGAGGGACTTGGCCCTCTCATGCCTCCCGCCGGCCAGAGTATTGATGGGGCCGATAAGACCCCCCCAGACCCCTCTCCCCCACACTGTGCTGCCCCCATGCCCAGGCTGCCCCTCCACCCCCCCTGT